TTTTTATTTATTTTTTTTTGTTTTATTATAAAATGTTTAAATAAAATTTTTATAATTCTCTACCTTTATTTTTTTTTTACCTTTAAAATTGAATTTTGTTTTAAGCTTTAAATTTCCTTACATCCCAACTTATGTACAGTATATACCGACCGATACAGTATAAAAAAAATCCTTTTTATCATTTTAAAATTATATGACTTAATTTATTTGACCTTCCAATATTCGACCTTCCATGCGTTTGGTATATAACGTTAAATTACTTTCGCCGTCGATATTGCTAATAGATAGATTCTTTGTTAAGCATATTAATAAAAGTTGTATGACAAAGGGCATTTTATTTTTCGCCAATAATTATATTTTTTTTGTCTTCAATTATTAATTTTACAAGAAAATCTGCGAATCATTTACTACTGCAGTCAATAATGCATTAAGAGGTTGTAATATTTATAATGGTAAACATAAATGCATAAATTTCAAAAGATATATAGTATTGTTATTTGTGATATTTGTAACAACAATTTGAATACTTAGAATCTAAGATTTATTTCATGTAAGTTTATGAAACAACTTTTAAACTCGAGAAATAATATTTAGACTATTAAAAAACTCTAATACGGAAGTTTATCACTTTAGCTTTAGAATATTTATGATACAATCATTATTGTAAATAGTTTATTATAAACTGTTTATTATTGGAAAAATATTTAATATTTATGTAACTTAGTAACATCACTTTATTTCATTAACAATTCTAATGCGTTCATTATTATCATCGTATAATTGTTATTATATGTAGTTTATTCAGTTATTTGTAATTATGTTTTATATCTAACTGCATCATTTTATTTATGAAGTATATTTACTAAATTCTAAATTTTATAACTTTGTTTTTTATATTTCAATTGTTTGATAATACTTTATTTAAATTATAAATAATGAATTCAATAACTTTGTAACGAATCTCTTTTTCAAACCATTATGTTACATAAAGTTATAGCAAAATTATAATTGGTACATTTTAAATAACTAAATCTATATCTATCTATATCTATATAATAAAAAAATTGTGTTTGTATGACTAACGTTTAGATTAGCCTGTAGAAATAATCTTTGAATTGTGCAATGCGTTATTCATCTGCGCCTTTACACCTGATCTATTACGTTATACAAATCATACAATGTTAATTACTAATGGTGTTAATAGGCCAGTTCATAATTGTTCGATCGGCATTTTTGATCGGGTTACACTAAATTTCACGATCAACGTTCATAATTGAAATGCTTGATCGCATATATTGATTAATCTATGAATACAAAAGTTGTCGCGTAGTCATTACTTTTATTCTTATAAAGTATAATTAAAAATTTACAGCAGTTAAAATGTCTAAACACAAGAAAATAAGGGAATTATTATCTTTTTATGTTATTACAGCTTGTCAAGATATGGAAAATGAAGATTTATTTGAGGAAGAAGGTGATTCAAGTGAAGAAGAAGAGGATGATTTGGTAATGCTTGGACTAACCTCATTACTTGGAATAAGATATTTAGAGCAAAGATCTTATCATGTAGCAAAATCAAAAGATTGGTACAATTATATTTTACCAAAATATGAAGACTGTAGATTTAAAAAAATCATTAGAATGAACTCTATAAATTTTCAAAAGCTTGTTTCCCTATTAATTACTCATCCAATTTTTCAAAATAATAGTAATCATTCACAAGCTCCTGTTGAATTACAACTTGCAATTTTTTTGAGAAGAATTGGTTCTAAAGAAGAT